GTAGTATTCACTGTATCTGAAGCTCTTAATACGATTGCTCATATTTCAAGCCATCTTTTTCCCAGCCCCTTGCTTTGGATAATGTTCATCAACCGGCCCCATTCCAAACTAATTGAATAGCCCTGTCCTAAACATTTGGAGAACTGGCCCAGCTTTGTTCAAAGTGTAGAAATACACCTAACAAATCTCACCAAAGGTTCACTGATTGACTTTTTTCATTGTGTTTGTGTAATTTGTTCACAAACACTAATTATGTACTATAAATTCAAGATTCAAGTGCTTTCACTCTATACAAGAATCCCTGAACAGCATCTTTCTTATCAGTACTCTGAGAAAGAAACAAACATGGCTGTCGTAATTAAGAGCTACCTTAGACAGGTGGACCATAGAGAGCATCCTGACCAAGTTTGCACTATTTTTTATTGTTGTTGTTATTTTGGAAAGTATCCTTGTTGCTTCGCTTTCCAAAAAGGTTCGGCAATTTGTAGTTCTCCATTTTCATCAAACATGATGAATCTTGGAATTAAAGGTAGGGTAGGTAAGAATGGAGAAACCAGCTCGAGTGCGCTAGAATTTGAAAATACACAACCGGAAAAAATCTGCCCCTCCTTCAGACTTCCTTACAGAGCCCCTCCTCCAACACACACGGACGCGCACATGACCAATGAGGGCACGGGATAAGTTTGTGCCCAGATGGAAGGCTGACAGGCAGGTAGGCCATCCAGTTATTTTAGCCGGGCCGGCTCAGATGATTGGTCGTGCTTTTTACAGCACCACGGCTTCCACCGATGAACTGTTTGTATTAATTGCTATCGGGATGTTCAAAGCATTCCATGGAATATAATGTTTCTGAAGTGAATTACCTACCCCACCTTTAATAAATCACAAAAGTATAAAAACAAGTATAAAATCTCTTTAATTCTATAAGATACTTTGAAATGTCGACAACTAAGCTACTAAAACAACAAAACAGCAAATTCATATTTAGAAGACACAAACACAAACACAAAACCAACATAGGAAAGCCGATGATAATATGGATGAAGAAGAATATATTTTAAATGTTTTAGTTCTGAGAGCGGAGGGGCAGTCTGGATTTCTGCGGCGTTGATTCGTTTTCTGGCACTCTTTGCTTCGGGGGGACCTTCATTTCCTTCTTAGCGCCTTTCTTGTGCTGTGAAACAAAAATGCCCTTTTATGGTTTTGATTTTTGAATGTGTAGAACAATAACAGAAAAAATATATAATAATGAAACATGAGAATTCAGTGTTTCCTACAGATCTGAAATATACTTGTGGTGGTAGCCGAGAACGGGGGGTGCTAGTGCAGGAATCCTGAAGTCAGATTTAAAACCTTCTAAGACCTTTTTTAAGACCCTTTCCATACATTTGAAGACCTCATCGCCACTTTGCGTTCTAACCGGTTACCTTGGCGACACACTTTACCTCACATTTACTATATACAGTATTGATTGTCCTTCCTTTTTATCTTCCAACCATTTGGACGCTAACTTGCATTTCCCCATAACGATGTTGTTTAGCAACCGGCGTAAACGGAGCTTTGCGCGCTATCAAGCAGTGAGCGTGCGATGTCCTGTTCAGATGACGTCACATCCAACGGGATGCCATAAATAAACTCCACAGAATCACACTACACACCTACGCAATGATTACATTCAGGCACACTGTAGAATACAACCTCTTTGGACCATTTATATACTTATTGAAAACAAGCTACAAAATGTAATACCTTGGAAAATGCCGTTTAATACTTTTTAATAGCCTTTATTTTCCCTAAATTGATTGAAGACCCCGTGGACACCCTGAAATGGAGCACGCTCATGAACTGTTCGCCGGAGCCTCGCAGCGGAGTTACCGCAGAGCGCATAAAGCAGACCCTTCACGCGATAGCAGAGCGAACAGGTACAGGAAGGGTAGTTAATCGATCGCAGATGGCGTCGTGCTCGCGGAACGGATAAAAAAAACTAAATGGGTCGCGAAATATACTTTGGCGGACGTTAATATACCTGGGCGGCCCGCACCAGTGAAGTCTATGTGTGGGAAACCCTGGAATTATTATACTATACAAACTTAAGCAGTGCCGAATTAATAAACTAAAATGTTACTGACTCTAAATTATATATAAGCAAATCATTTACTTAATTACACATCGGAAAAGGGGTGGGAAGAAGTTTACACTTATTTAATCACACCCCTTCTCCCAAAAACTAAATTATTAACATATGTATATAGATATATATATTTTTCTTCTTAAAAACATAAAACAAATAAACAAACAAACAAAACAAAGAAAGCGCTCACCTTGAAGAAGGGAACGCGTTTGCTCTCGTTGAAGACGAGGTTCTCGTCGATGAAGGACGGCTCCGTGGCCAGACTCTCGTTGAACGTGCTCAGATCCTCCAGAGAGCCCTGCAGGCGAGACACAGCAGAATCAACAAGAGTTTATTTTATTTGTTCTATTATTTAAAATAAAAGCAGTTCTCCAGCCATTTTATAGATTTGGTTTGAGAAATGCAGAATTGTTTTCTGTTAAATTAAATCTAACAAGCCGGGTTCCTACAGCTTTTTAATACTTTAGAATCAAATTGAAATTGTGGAAGGGTGTGAAGGAATTCCCAGTAGAAAACGGAAAATGAAACGTACGCGATCAACCAGGCTGTGTTGTTTCTCCTCTTCCTCCTCCTCCTCCTCCTCCTCCTCCTCCTTGATGGCGGCCTGCAGCTCCTCCTGCTGCCGCCTCAGGCTCTCCAGCAGCGCCACGCGGCTCTTCGACCGCTCCAGCCGCCGGGGATACACAAACTCCCGACGCTGAGGGGTGGCACCTGAAGGCAACAGCAGAACAACCGTGTGAGTGACCGGGACACGTTCAAGGACATGGAAACACGAGACTTGGTACTTTATCACCATTCTACAAACAAATGGCTTTACTTTGAACAATTTCCAAATTCATTATCTCAGTGTTCTTTTTCTGTAGCAGAGTACTTTACTTGTAGATGGGCAAATTACATTTTGAAAACATGGACATGTTTTTCTCATAAATTTACAATTTTGATCTTGGAAAATTTAACTTTTATAATAAGTTATAATAATAATAAATAAATTGAATTGATATAGCACACTTTAAAAACAACGTCATCTCTAAAATAAAATAAATAAAATAGTTATATTAGCTGTAACCAACAACTCCATAATTAAAAATTTCCCTTTGAACGACTGTATTTAAAAAGGTCATCTATCGTGCTATTTTTAGGCAATAGCATAGGTCTCAGATATATACAAAAATATAAAAAACATGTCTATGAAGTGTTTTGCTCAAAATAC